ATATATATATATATATATATATATATATATACTTCAGCATTGTGTGATACTATTTTAAAGTGATTTCAGTCATTTTGACAGTTGTATTTACCTATGAAAACAAACCTGGTAAGAGACGTGAGGATTTGGGGAGAAAAAAAGAGATTCTTCATGCATTCCAGTGAATTATTAATGGCATAGGCCTATATCGTAAATTAAATCGGGAACAGACCACAAATGTACAGTGTATGTTGACCTTTTTTATACTATTACAGCTAGGGGAATGCAAAAGGAAAAAAGAAAATAATCATGAGGAAAAGAATGCAGCGACTGAAAAGGGCTCTTGCCATAGACATTATTGTTATAACATGTCACATTAAAATACCAAGTGTTACGTAATTTTCATGTTATTCTTAAATAAAACATGAAATAAAACTGATTGCTCATTGAGTCAAACTGACAGATAAGCTTTATTTGTAGGGCAACCTTATGATTTGAAATTTTGAAATTATTCATTTCAGTCTTTTTGAATGGAAGTTCCCCAAACCGGAAGTGCCTCCCATAATTCTAAACGCAGCAAGCTCATCAGGAATAAGGTGGATACAAATGGCTGAGGGCAGAAATATGCTAATACGGGACAGTCCGTCAGTGGTCGTGGGCGGAGCCTGAGCAATAAGGAGTGAATGGATTTTTTTAATTATATGATGTTTTATTAAAGTTCGGGAGGAGCACGTTCAGATAATTAAACCCAATTAAACACCTGTGAAGCGCATTGAGATAATCAAAGCTAATTAAACACGAGTGGAGCACATTCAGTTAATCAACGAATTAAGAGGTAGGCTATATACAGCAGACTTACCTCCGTTCGTCGACAGTTTAACAGCATCCCTCCACCACCCCATCTCCTCAGTTCTAACTACTCTTACATCAACCGGGGGGAGTACTCTGGGTTCGGGCAAAAAATTCCGAGCTCAGAGCCCTCCCCCCGGACAGCACGCCAAATACGCATAATCTTTACTCTGTTTAATTTGATGTAAGTGTGAACTCGTGAAATGGTGGTTGTGTCCACACACTGGAAAGACACATTTATATGCAAACACCATAAAAAAGTTAATTTTGCATCTGATGACCCCTTTAAGAATGAAACAGTCTCTTCTTCACACCAGTTGTCACGTTTTCTGTCACCATTTGACAGGTAAAACCTCTGTTTATACAATATGCAATGTTTCCGTGACTGTCTAAAGCGCGTGAATATGAGGCACGCTATTGGTTGTCAGTTGACAATCTAAGACTGCATAGTTTCACACTGTATTCTACAAGTTTGACACCACCGCAATGCAGGGTTAACACCGCAAAATCAGTGCTAACCTGAGTTTAAACCTAAGTTTAAGCACAGTGTGCCCTTTTATTAACAATCAATCATTTAGATTCACTTAACCGTCCCCTTTTTAGTTATTACTTTATTTTCTATTGGTCATGGCATTGGCAACAGTTACTTATTAAATAATCAAATGAGGGACAAGAGCAGACAGTCAAATATCCAGGCTTATGTTGTAGTTGTGCTTACTTTTGCCATTTAAAGAGCTGACTCAGTTGCTTTGATCGCATTCTCCACAACCTCATCACTCAAAACCAGTTCAGGCAAATTGAAATCAGCACTAGTGTCGTGACTGACTACATTTGTGCCATTACCTGATTTGTATAATTCCCTAGTTACATAAAAGCAATTAATTCATAGTGAAACACTCATTGAAGTTATTTCAAAGTTATACAGTCATAAATAAACTCAGACTGAATAAATAGCTGGATCACTGCATGTCCATTCATGTTGAAAAGTTTCAGTTATTACCCTTGTCCTGAAGGGGTTTTTTTTTGTTTTTTTTTTGTCATTGTCGAGAAACATGAGAACCTCTCGGTTACACTGTTTGTTTTTGTGTTTGGGGAGTTTGGATATCTACACTAAGGGACCCTTCACTCCCTAGCATAAGCATACACAAACTGTTGGCTGTTTAGACAGCTGTGGCGGACAGGCAGATAATCCTATCTTTCTCTACTGTCATCCACAATGAGTAGTATACACAAACAAAGACAAGTGATAATAGACACACATGGCCACTGCACCCTATTATTGAGGTCTTCTTTCTTTCTTGTAAAACAATGGAAGTTTTCTAGTAGATGTGAAAACTCCGCATCTCTGCTTTTAAGGGAGGAGTGTAAATTTAGGGAAAAATAAATTTCATTAAATTATGCTAAATGTCATTTACTCACCCTCAAGTTGTTTTAAACTTGAACTTATGAATATGAATTTCTGCTCAACAAAAAAGAAGATATTTTGAAGAACATGGGTAACCAAACAGTATGGGAAAAATCTATGCAAGTCAATGGGGCCCATCAACTGTTTGGTTTGCCAACATTCTTCAAAACACCTTCTTTAGTGTTCAGCAGAAGAAAGAAATTCATACAGGTTTAGAACAACTTGAGGGTGGGCAAATTATGACAGAATTTTTTCATTTTTGGGTGAACTATACCTTTAAATTACTGTATGCTAATTGACGTACCCCATCCACTGAACCAAAAGGACGACCGCTCAGTATATTATCAGAAATACAACGGTTTGACATATGAGAGTTTGAAGTTTGAACCCATAGACATGTGTGTGCGATTTTGGCACCATCAGTAACGCGTGCTGTAAGTCACCTCCCATCTTTCCTGACAACCGACACACAAATACAACACATTTACGGCAAATACCGCAAAGCATAAAACAGAAACTAATGTGATTAACCAACCAACCGATGTGTTTTTCTTACCAGCACAGTTAAACAGTCGATATCTACTGAAGGTAATCCATAGTCGCCTTTCCAACAGAACAACTCCAAGGGAGCAGCCATATTTGAGTGACTTTTCACCTGGAAGTACTGCGCTCTGTCTGCGGTGGTTACCACTGGCAACACTGTCAGTTGTGTGGTACTGGTACCCTTTTTTTTCTCCAGTCTATGGTGGTCCCCCATGTTTCTATTAAAATTATGTATTTTTATATGATGTCTTTTCAACCACTTATTAAAGGAATAAACGCTCAAACACTCCTTGCTTATTACCATAAAACGGCAAAGTGACACTATATTCAATGACTGTACATGGCAGTTATTCACTGTCACTGCATATTAACACTGGATAAGTGTTGAGTAGGCCTATACATTTTTTAAAAAAAATTAAAAATGTATACTCAACACTTATCCAGTGTTAATATCCAGTGACAGTGAATAACTGCCATGTACAGTCTATTGAATGGAATTTGTGGTGTATTGACACATACAGAAAGATTGTCATTGGAGTAGGTAGGCTATACACCATTGAACATTACTATTTTTAATGTTTTTGTAAGAAGTATCGAATGCTCATCAAGCCTGCGTTTATTTGATAAAAAAATACAGGGGAAAACCAGTAATATTGTAAAATATTATTACAATAAAAATTATTGGTTATCTATTTTAATATAGGCTTTATTATTTATTTCTTTGATGCAAAGCTGAATTTTCAGCATCATTACAGTCTTCAGTGTCACATGGTCCTTCAGAAATTATTCTAATATGCTGAAAAACATTACATTAAAACATTAAAAATAGTAATGTTTCCAAAAATCAGGGATGCCTTCTGTTGATTGTGCTATAAACGGCGATGAAGAGCAGAGGGAGCCAATGTTTCATTCAACCCAAAAATCTCTTTATCTCTTATTCCAGTAGTTATCTCTTATTCCAGTAGGAGGCGCTTTGGTTCTCTGTGGCAGCAGCGGATCATCTGCCCAACAAACATCACACATTCACATTTTAATGGCATGCTAAATGGTCTCTTGGGTCAAAACGAGAGAGTATATAATGCGATTACATGTGTTTCACAGTTTATTCTGCAAGTTACACATCAAATCCATATTCTGGAGAAAAAAAAAACAGTATTTATCTGAAAAATAAATAAATTAAGCTTTGCTACTCAAGTTTAGAAAAACATTATAATCTTGTAGTATATTTCTTTGAACACTAGATGGAGTCAGAGCAATCCCTTAATGTGTTGAGGTCCAGGCTCCAGGTGCTGTATGCATTTGCCGTTTGTGATCCAAAGATAACACATGGCACGTTTTTAGAATTATTTTTTACAAACAAATACCTCAAGAAATGTAATTTGTGTTATTTTTATTAAACAAAGTTGTTCTTACATTCACAAGAGTGTGCTAGTCCCCTCTGTGATACCACGTGTCATATACAGCTACATATCAAAGACCAGCAGAATCTCTCTCCCAAGGCAGAGGTAGTTGTGCACTTTGTCTAGGCCCTATGACAAACATGTTAAGCCTAAAAGTGCATTAAATTGTTCACACAGGACAAATGCATAATACATCATACAAATCTGTGCTGAACACACATATTCAGTCCTAATTTTTGTAAACATAGTCAAGTGCCTCTGTCATTGTATGTTAACCTAGTTTGTAGCAGCAGAGGCATCAGTTTCCTTCAACACATCCAATTTTATTATTATTATTATTATTATTTATTTTTTTCAAGGGAAAACCGCCTGTTTCTCTCTCCTCACTGTGTCCTGGTCCTCATCAACAACCAAACGTTGCACGTAGCTCAACTTTTAAGGTTTCGGGTGAATTTCTCATTGGTTCTCCAAATTGTTGGGCATACCCTTGCAACATCTCGCTGCTTTGTTCAGAAACGTCTCATCATCAGGTTCACTCCTCCTCAGAGTTTCCTCCCTTCCCGCAGCTGCTGTGCACTCGCTCGGCACTCTCAGCCACGAGGTGTCCACGCGCCGCTTCTGGGCGCTGATTGGCCAGTGACGACATAAACACCGAATTTCGACCAATGGGAGCGATGTGCATGCGCTGAGCCATGCAGTGCATTCCACTTCCACATGAACAGCTGAAGTGGTAAACAAGCCTAGTGAGTCACTGGCTGAAGTGTCTGAGTATAAAACCCTAGCCTAGCCCAGCGCGCACAAAGCTTCTATACTAACCATGCGAGCAGGCAGTGTGAATTGTAAATTTGCATAAACCACTAATTTGCTGCAACTCATTCCCTACCAAACTAATTCGTTTGGACTGAAGACTGGATGCACTTTTGAAGGACTACTTAATATCTGGCTGATTTACCAACTTTTAGTTGAGACGCGTATCTTCCTTCTTTTTAGCTTGTAAATCACTATGGTGGCGATGACAAAAAGAGTCAAGGCCTTTGAGGTCGTTTTCAACGATCCATCCAAGACATTTTACTGCAGTGGAGATAAAGTGGCTGGGAAGATCTTGGTGGAGGTTTCGGAGGTGACCAAGGTGATGGCCATGAGGGTCGTGGGAGTTGGATGCGCTAAAGTGGAGTACGCGAAAGGCAAACAGAGATGCCGTGAAGAAATTGACTATCTGAAGTATGAAGAGGTTGTCCACTTGGACGACCATCCCGCAGGTGATTTAAAACGGTTTATTTTGCTTTTAATGTTGACTTTGCTCTGGTAGATGCATTTGCTGGGATGATGCTGATGTTGGAATGTGGCAGTTCATTGTGAAATACTGAATATTCAAAAAGAAGTCGTTAACACTTTGTCTTCAACTACTATGTGCTAACATTTAAGTGATTGCACTTTATTTTACTGTACGTCCACTTACAGTGTACTCTCCTAAGAAAGTACTGGGTAATATAAGATAACATGGGTTAAGGTTAGGTTTAAGGGGTAGGCTCAGGAACAGGGTTAGTAACGTTACCTATAATTACCAAGTTATTGCAATTACTATAAGCACATTTACATGGAGAATAGGACTGTAAAATAAAGTGCTCCCATTTAAGTGAAACATTTGATACAATGAATTTACAATGAAGCATGTTTTACATTGTACTAATATTCTATAATTACACTTGTTGACCCTTAAGCCACCCTTAAACCTAACTATACCACAACAGATAGTGTGTTAGCCATATGAAAGTGGTCCTAAATATCATGTCAGATGCAAAACATTTAAACAATAGCTCCTAACTGAAAGCAAAGTAAGATTCATAGTAAGCGGATTCCTTTGCTAAAGTTTTAAGTGGGTTTGTTTTGTCTCATTTGTTGAAGATCTCTTGAAACGGTCCAAAACTAATATGCTTATCTTTGCTTCTCACAGACTCAGATGGTTCGGTTGTTCTCCGTCCTGGCAACAAATACGAATACTCATTTGGCTTTGAGCTTCCTCAACAAGGGTAAGCATTCTAATTGACAAGCTATAGGCATTAATTTCCGTTTAAGTCAATTTGCCTGTAAATTAATACAAATGTAATTTTCCCAACAGGCAACTGGTGTCTTCCTACAAGGGCAAGTTTGGGTTTGTTCAATACTTTGTGAAGGCTCTGATGGAAAGACCCTCTCAGCCCGCCCTGGAGTGTAAGAAACACTTTGAAGTTGAAGAGCCGTTGGATGTCAACACTCCAGACTTGCTGGTGAGTTCCTCATATTAATATCTTTTATTAGACTGATATCAAAACAGATGAGCTTTAGGCCACAGATCATCACTTTTGGTTGGGCTTATCCAAATTCTAGAGGCTGCTGTTCTTATTATTGACTTCCAATAGTAGTACTTTGTCCATTTAGGTAAACATCCTTTATGAATTTAATAATTAGCCGTGTCCTCATGAAGCTGGCGTGCAAGTTAATCATATCCTTTTTTTCCATCAATCACCAGTCCCCTACTGGAGGCATGAAGGAGAAGAAGGTCACCTGCATGTTCATCCCCGACGGCCAGGTTTCTCTGAACGCCAAGATTGACAGGCGTGGCTTCTGCGAGGGCGAAGAGATCTGCATTGATGCCAAATTTGAGAACACCTGCTCTCGCATCGTGGTACCAAAAGCGGCGATCATCGCCAAGCACACCTACCAGGCCAATAGCCGCACCAAAGTCTTCAGGCAAAAACTCTCCTCAGTGCGTGGCAACCATATCATCTCCGGCATGTGCGACGCCTGGCAGGGGAAGAGCATTCGTGTGCCTAAGATCAAGCCCTCCATCTTAGGCTGTAACATCATTCGAGTGGAATATGCGCTCATGGTGAGGTTTTTTTTTGCATATTGCAGTTACTGTAGTTGCATAATGTTGTGTTTTTCATCTACAAAGTAGGCACTTATTGAAAGCTCGTTGTTCTCCTTTATCTACAGATATATATGCACATCCCTGGCAGTGATAAGTTGATTCTGGAGTTGCCTCTGGTTATTGGGACCGTTCCCTACAATGGCTTTGGTAGCCGCACTAACAGTATGAGCAGCCAGGATGGTTCCGTCAGCACAGCGTCGGCGAGCTGGGTGTCCCTGCAAATGCCCCCAAGCTACTGTGACATTACACGCGACTGCAGCCTAGATCAACCTCTCACACCTCTATTGGATGACTATGATGGAGGAGACAGTCCCATCTTCATGAACGCACCCCAATTCCAGTTCCCCCTACTCCCCGCTTATTCTGAGGTGAGTGTAAAGTATATTCGCCTAAGGTGCGGTCACATTTACCTCTGCTTGGCGAAATTTCAATAAGAATTTGCACATTTTGACATGAGGGCGGAAAAGTTCTCCACACAGATTTTGCTCATGGTCACGTGGCAACGTGGTGCTGACCATCCATCGAAATTTGACCAAAATAGCACTTATGTGATTGCACCTTTAGTGTATACAAAATGAATACCAGTTGCTATTGAATATCAATATAAAAACTGATCTAATTCTTTGTTTTTCTGTCGTTTAGGTGGAGGAGGAATTCAACGGAAACGCCCGCATGCTTCCTGTCTGCTGAACCGATCCAGCAGCTCTAGAACTGAACTGATGCCCATCATAAAAGGTTTTTTTTCCCACTCTAAGCACTCCGGGCTTTCACCATGCGGATCAGAGGTGGTTTGAGAAGTGTCGTATGGATGTATGAAAGTGAAGATGGAGCGGAGGATTTTGGGACCCGAGTGGCCCCTCTGCAGGATGAGCTAGTCGACGTTCAGAGGAAAAAGGAGTGAAGTCCAAGCTCACATGTGCCTGCATTGCTGACAGCCATCTTATATAATGCATCACTCAAGTTAAACATGTTTCTGTTATACATTTGATGCTGTTTCAGGGTCTGAAAGAGGGCACACAGACTGGCGATTCGTATTTCTTTATGTTTGAGCTGCTCTCTCTTGATACGAGATTACTGCTGAGGTGCAAACTGATTGTCGCATTATAGCCATTTAAGCACACATAGACTTTCCTTATTGGTGTTCATTTACTTTCTAACAGTCCCCAACATATCATTCAATAGCATTGAGCTTATTTTCGTTATCATTCCATTACAACCCAATGTTTTTTTTTTGTTTTTTTTTTGTGGGGATGAAATATTTCATTTGTAGAAACATTCTTCAATCCATTTGTTTTTTTGTTTCTTTTTATGTTGGTTGTGAGGTTAAGTCAATGTGCTAGGCAGAGATATATTATTCTAAGTTACTGAAATGTAAAGAAGAAATGTAGTATATTGATATTTTCATCAAGGGAAAATCATGCAGTGTCAGTCTATAATGTACCAGTGTTTTGTTTTTCATTTGAATGCACTTTTTATGAATGCAAGTTGCTGTATAACTACTCGCAGGGAGATGGTTTTCATGTTGTTTTTTTCTTGTCTTCCAAAATTGTTCGCTGAGGGATCAGGCATTCATTGCATGCTCAATTCAAGAGTCAGTACTGTGATGCGTTCAAAACCTCGTCCTAAGAAAGGGCTCCACTGATGTTGTCTCTTCCACTGTGGACTTGAACATTAAGCCAAAAAAGAACTTGATACTTCAAGTGCCAAAATTAGGGTCTGTTTAGACTTCGAGCGCTGACCATGTTCATATGTGAGACTAGAACCTGCACTGTGTGTAGACATATCCTGAAGACATTTTGATCAACATTTTCACTTGTGGGGATATCTTCCTTAACTTCTCGTGTGTGTCTCTGTGTTTTGTTTCTTATAGAATGTATAAGATGACTGTTACTGTTATTATAAATCGTGCAAAGTATCCTTTTTGTATCTAAATTAAAGTGTTTTTTTGTATGAGCACTCGTTTTCAATAAAAGTTTTAAGATGTTATAATAATTTCTGCATTCTTTTGTTCAGTTGAAGTAAATTAAAACCACAAACAGGCTGTTAGAGACATTTTATTAATCAATATCAGAGATCAATGCTTATTGTAACATCATTACTTATTGGTGTTTTCTTAGGAAAGCATCACTATTGGGATTTTCAAGTATTTAACTTTATAACTCGTCCAGTTTGTGCTATGGACTTTAATCATCTAAAATCGTGTGACTTATTGAGTGGAAGTTTTATTTTCTAAACAATCAGATTTCCGCCTAGCTCATCAAACGAGCAAAACGATCCCATATATTTGTGTTGAAGGTCTATCTAGAGACCTGTATGTCAGAACATGTAGGTGAGCTCTTGACTTGGGCCAGTGATTGACCATTCAAATATCTGGCATTAGCATTGTGGTGGAGGTTTATCACATGCAAAAAATATTTTTTTACTGATAGACTGTGTCAGATGGAGAAGATAGCAGCAACATGTTACAAAACCCCTTAAAAGCTCTCTTTCTCCAATAAAAACAGTTCTGCTGATAGAAAATCCATCGTTTCGCGGTCACAGACCATTGTTTATTTTCAGTGGTTGGCTAAAGAGAAGATTTAAAGGCAAAGTTCACCCAAAAATAAAACATACTGTCATTTTTCCAAACCTGTATAAATGTCTTTTTTTTTCTGCTGTACACAAAAAGGAAGACCAAGCAGATCTCAGGCCCCATTGACTACCATAGTATTTTTTTCTTTCTATGGTAGTCAATGGAGCCAGAGATCTGTTTGGTTACCAACATTCTTCCAAATATCTTCCTTTGTGTTCAGCCGAGCAATGAGATTTATACAGGTTTGAAACAACTTGACGGTGAGTAAATAGTGACAGAATTTTAATTTTGGGGTGAACTATCCCTTTAAATGTGGAAACAGGAGACCAAAAGTGAATTTTGAATCAATGCAAGGTAAACAGACATGGATGTTAATATTTGTTCAAGGCAAACACCAGGATCTGATCGATGATAGAAAACAAGGCTTATTCAATAAAACCAGGGATGTTGCTAGGGATTCCGGGACCCTGGTATACTCTGGTACTGGTAAAACACATCCAAATTACCAATAATGTTGGTGTTTTTATTTGTGATTATTGATTTGTATGTAGTTTACATTCTCTTGCGAGAAAAATGGCAAAACACTCAACACTGTTGGTCTGAATTTTGAAAAATGTTTTAAATTTGATCCAAATTTGATTTCAAGAAGACACCCTGCACATTTTATATCGCATGAATCAGATCCAGCCTTCATACCCTGTTTTTCTTAGCCTAAGCAATTTTTCTTACAGTCTTGTAGAGTTGGAGAAGGGTCAAGTCATTTACGTCATTTTTTGTGCTGCTCTCTTTCTTGTGCGCATGAAGCATTTGTTGAGACGTGCCCGGCTGCGGCAGAGCAATAAGCGATAAGGGCAAAACTCTTTATCTTGAGCAAAACACTTGTTGAATGAGCCCCTCTCTTTCCTCTCCTTCTTGTGCTTTCTGTTCTGTATCTACCTCAGGAAAACCCTGTCATATTTAATGCACTTGCCCAATCTGCAATCCCTCTCCCAACATGGCTGCTTTAATATTAAATCTAAATCTTCCTCTCTTATATCTGTATAAAATATGTGGTTCGCAGCAGATTAATTCAGCACATATTATACATACGCTGGTTTGACAGGGGAAATCTCTTGTCTAGACATGGTTAAACTGACAAATCCAGTGTTTCTTCTATAGAACGGTGTGTTTTATTCCCCAGATTGTGTAACTGACATTAGATTATTTCAGAGATGTTTATTTGTTCTTTTCTAAATTGCATAACATATTGCTGTACGTTGCAGATGCAGTGCATAGCACAGCCTCATCCAGGACAAGTGGATGTACCAAGTGTTTGAGATTTTGACGGATGTCCACAGATTTCTCAGAAGTTAGTATCATTTTTAGGAGGTGGTGGTGTTGACGGACCCCAATGAATGAAAACAAATATACTGTGGAAGTCACTGGGGCCCATCAACTGTTTGGTTACTGACATTCTTCAAAATATCTTCCTTTGTGTACAGTTCAGCAGAAGAAAGAAATTCATACGGGTTTAGAACAACTTGAGGGTGAGTAAATGATGACAGAATTTTCATTTGGGTGAAGTATCCCTTTAAGGATCTGAAAACATTACATTCAGTTCACACTCAAGAAGCATATTATTTTAAAGTATATTATTTCTTTTTAAAAGTAGTCATTATTTTTCTCAAGGGTATATGGGACTGTGATCTTGATAATACCATGACCAGCCAGGTCTACAGATGTGCCTAAACACATGGGGAGGTATAAGTGTCATTGATCATTGCCCATGCATAATGACCAGGTGACCAGGCAGACCAGACAAGGCACGTCTTGTGTTCAATTATATGCTGGATGCCTTTCACATGCCTTTTGGGAAATGCTTAGCATTATTTTCTAAAACTACACCTCTGAAACAGCCTCAGGAGGAGACATGTGCTATGTCAGTGGCCAATACGTGAAAACATTGAAGATTCACTGTTTCTACATATAGACCCAAATTCCTAATTCGGAAATGGATAATGGCTACAAAATGAATAACGAATTCTACCGCATAATAAGAACAAATATTCGGCAGACCCATGCAATCCTTGTGCCGTTTAGGCCTACTGGATAACAGCTGGGCCAAGGGATAGATAGCAAATTAAAGCCTATTTCAAACCTCGTACGATATGTTAGGCCAATATGTTTCTCGCTGTCTTGCTCTCTCCCGGAGACGGCACGCATAGTAAAAGTTGTTTTAGCAATTTTTTAATCTCTGAATATTTCCTTTCAACTTAAATATCTCTTAGCACTTTTTTTTTTAAATATAGAATCCTCTCTTATCTCCTTATTTGAGCTTGTGGATGACTGTCCTGACATAAATCTGTTCCTCTGAAATTAAAAATCCCTTTTTTTAACATTTAGTAGCCTACTGTTTTAATTAGAAGATAATACATTTCAATACATTTTATAGGCTAATTATAATAAAGAAAATTATTTTATGAGCTGGAATATTTGTTAAATGAAGACCATGAAGGGAACAGAATTACATTTAAAATGTAATTGTCTGCTGTAATTTCACAACATATAGAGATAGAGAAAAAGATATAATATAAATATATAAAAATATTTAAATATAAGATATTAAAGACATTAATATTCATTCATTCATTAATATAAATATAAAGAAAAAATGACAGATTCTCAATTTATAATGCGGCTGTGAGCTATAAGCCTAACACCTTTCTTTCCGCATGTCTTTTATGTGTTTGCTAGAGGTTGAATTCAAATCAAATACTGTCAAACTGCCCATATTACTTCTGTCTACTTTATAAATAGTATGAAAATTATGGAAATATATGGTTCAGATCACTCAAACCATATATGGAAATGAAAGAGTCCTTATATGGTCACCAATGGAGTCTGGTTGTAATCTAGTGGAAAAGTTTGGTACTGCGCCCCAAACAAAACAATCTCACTGAAAGCTCATTTTTTGAGGTATCAACCTCAATTTTGGAACAAAACATAATTGTTCAGATTAATGGCTTTGTTTTTCTTGCAGTTTTAAAGTAAAAGATGTTTTGTAAAACATGTATTTTATGTAAAATAAAAATAATTATATTTTTAAATATTTACATTTCATAAAATTAAAACCTTTTTCACTTTAATTTTTTTTTCTTTTTTTCTCAAATCTACAATAATCTGCCAATTGTCTCCTTTCAAATGAGATCAAACTTAAGTCTGTGCTCCAAAGTTTTCAAGATTTATAACCATTTAAAGTGGAAAGGTCATTGAGGGGTTAAGTAAGTGGCCTTTTATTTAATTAGTATTATATTATCTGCAAGTATAGTTAAAAATATACTTTGATGATTTGAAGTACACTTTCACATTTAAAGGTGCCCTAGAATGTTTTTTTTTATATTATTTTATAATGTTTCCTGGGTTACCCTTAAAATGTTAGTATGTTTTTTAGATAAAAAATAATCATAATTTAGAAATAAATGGCATTTTTCCTAGCCTGCTTTTAGCCTCTGATTTGAACACTCTGTTTGAAGGGGCGTGTCTGCTGTGGGATTCAGTCTAACCGCGGCCACTGCTGTGATTGGCTGACATGCTTGCATATGAAATAGCTACGGATTACATGTGAAACTCTCTCCCGAATACTTTTACTACTGCTATTATACGTTTTTACTATAACAGCTATCGAGATTAACGAATCGTGAGATGTTTTTAAAGTATTTAGATCTATTCCCATCACATAAAATGTTGCCGTGATGAGCATTGAGCAGATGACAGTGTGTTGATCGCGAGAATGAAGATCTTATCATTGCAAAGCAGTTTCTGCACTCTCTCTGCTTTCACCAATGCAAACACAATGATGTAAATACAGTAAGAGCTTCGTTGTGCAGTGTAACGTGCGTCATTGATTTCATAACGAGTTGTCCAGATAAACTCGCGCTGTGTGGAAAGATTGTTCTTTGATCGCTTTCTGTATATAATTTGTTCACAATTTAAATACGATTATTTTCATCCTACTAAAAGAAACGATGTGAAGCTGATATTTTAGTCACTGGCATGACTTACTGATGCATAAACAGTATTGAACGATTTTGAGAGAAAGATTACCTGTCTGAACTTGAACAATTACACATCAGAAAGTGTTGCTTGGTAGCTCGATCCGAGGCCAGCTCTGTATTGGCCCAAGTTGAGGAAACAGTCGGTGAAATGTTTGGAAATTTCCAGAGAAAATAACATTAACCCATTATTTCTTCAGAGGTTCAGATGAAGGAACTAAAAAATACTTTTGTGTTCATGTGTACATCCACACTGAGCAACTGCCATGCGTCGGCTGCGCAGTTCCGCCTGGCATTGAGGGCTGGCATTATGCAAATATTTGGAGGCGTACATATTAATGATCCCGACTGTTGCGTCACAGTCGGTATTGTGTGGAGAACCGACCGTT